TGCCGCTGCCCTTGGGATGCCTCTTGCCGGGTGCGTGCGGGGTGGTGGTGTCCTTGTCGCCGAGCCACCTCCAGCCTGCCCTCTCCTCCACGGGGCCCCTGCCATGATGGACCTGCCAGGGTGAGAGACGAGCCCTTGGCAGCCCACCCCGAGCTGGGAGCAGGCTCTTGCCCAAGGCGGATAAGAGCAAGAGGAGGAGGAGGAGGACGGGGACAGGGAGCTTGGCAGGGGGGTGAGCACCGGGGTCTCTGATCCGCCTTTCCCCTTCTCTTAGATCCGCATGTCAGACCAGAACAGCACCGACGATGGGGAGTCAGACCCCCAGCACAGCCTGTCTATGGTCTTCCTTCTTGTCCTCGTCTTGCTCTTGCCCAAGGCGGATAAGAGCAAGAGGAGGAGGAGGAGGACGGGGACAGGGAGCTTGGCAGGGGGGTGAGCACCGGGGTCTCTGATCCGCCTTTCCCCTTCTCTTAGATCCGCATGTCAGACCAGAACAGCACCGACGATGGGGAGTCAGACCCCCAGCACAGCCTGTCTATGGTCTTCCTTCTTGTCCTCGTCTTCTTCGTCATGGGGCTGGTGGGTTTCCTGATCTGCCATGTCCTGAAGAAGAAGGGTTACCGGTGCCGGACTTTCCGGGACGAGCTCGACCCAGATAACAAAGATGTGCTGGCGGAGCTCCAGGCCAGTGAGTGCTGGGGCGATGGGGGCTCAGTGGGGGCTCAGCTGCTGCCTTTTGCTGGCATGGACCAATGCTCCTTAAACACGCTTCTGGGATGCAGGCTGGGGGTGGGAGGGTTACCCGTCACGTGCTGCTGGGTTGGGAAAAACGGATGGGGTGGCGAGAGCAGTGCAGTGTTCCCTGGGGATCGGGAGCCTGCAGCCCGGAGAGACCTCTGACGTGCCAGCTCCGCGGGCTGGCGAAGGCTGGTGGTGCCAGGGAGGTGGGACGCAGCGCCTGGCCCTTCCCAAAGTGGTGTTATCACCTAAAGATAATTCTGATCAATGGCCAGGACCTGTGCAATCCCCAGCGCCTGGATTATAACCCATGTCCCCTCCAAGGAGAGCATCCCCAGCCAGGGCATGAGCTGTCCCTCTGCGCCTTTGGTAAGTCTGGCATGGGGCCAGCGTGGTGTTTGCTGCCCGTCATGCAGGTCGGAGGAATAGGGGTGTTTCCTTGGGATCTCTGCCCCATGATGGAAGGGGACATTTAGTGGTTTCTCCATCACTTCAGACCATCATAAGCGGCTCTTGGGTAGTAGGATTGGGAAGTCACCGCAGCATCGAGCGTGGGTGCAAGCCAGAGCTCAGTCCAAGCAAGCTGAGCGTTTTCATGAGTCTCTGCCGAAATGGAGAAGACACGTTCCTCGGGCTGCTTCCTTCCCTGAAAACAGCCAAACAGTGCTACATAACTCCTCTGGATCCTTTGTGCCATCAGCAGTGCTCAGGAGGTCAGCACCTCACACTGCCACTTCTTGTGCATGGGAGGGAAACGTGGCTCCCCCAGGTCCCCCGCGGATGCAGCGGGAGCTTCCAGGCATCCTTGGATATGCTCCTCTGGCTTCAATGACTTGGCTGAACTTGACATGGGCACAGTGTCTGAACCTTCCAGGATTGGCTTTGCCCACTGGAGTTGCCACTGCCCAGGGAAACATCTCCGTGGGCTTCCACGAGCACAGCGCAGCCCCTGACCATGCTCTTTGAGGCAGCTGCCTATCAGACCACAACTCTGACCTGCTCACAGGAACATAAAACGCTTCAGACTGGGATGAAGGTCCAGCCAGCCAAGCCTCTTGCCCCCAACAGCGGCCAGAAGCAGGTTGTGATGAATGCTGGGGATGAATACCACAACAGAGCAGACACCAAGCCAAGTTTCCCCAGTATACTATTTTAAGCTTCTAACAGTGTGTACCTCCGGGGGTTTCTCCATCAGAGATGGTTCCAGGCCCCAGTGGGTTTCTTTTTTGTGAACTTGTCCTGTTTACCCTTGGAGACTTTTAGCGCCTGCAGCATCCTGCGGCCAGGGCCTCCAGGGCTGGACTGTCTCCACGAGGACCCTTCTCTTTCAACTTGTTCCAAACCTGCTCCCCACCCACTTCACGTAATGCTCCCCAGTTCTGAAGGAGCAACACAACCTCCCTCCCCCTGCACACATGGCTGCTGCTGTAGCCATTTCTTTTCCAGGGTGAGGGATCTGGTGTTCCCCAGGGTCTTCCCGGAGTGATGGGGACACAGGCTTCTCCGACCTCTCTGTTGATGTGGCTGCTCCTGGGGAGGGACTGGTGAGCCGAGTGTCTGAATCTCAGCCCTCAGTGCCACATTTTGTCTTTTCAGATGAAGAGGAGGAGCTGAACGAAGACACTGTGGAGAAGATTGTGAGATGCATCATCCAAAATGAAGGTAAGCGTTTCCTAGGGCTGGCCCGGAGACTTGCCGACCGCTTTGGGTGACACATTCCCTTTTTCCTCTCTCTTCAGCAAACGCAGAGGCCCTCAAGGAGATGCTGGGGGACAATGAAGGGGACATCCCAGTGCCAGTGCCCAGGTGAGGGAAGCCTGTGCCAGCCTGTGGCTCTTGCAGAGTAAGGGAGAAGCAGCCTTTGGGTATCACCTTGGTCTGCAGACTGTGCAGCCAGCCCTTTTTCAGCTTGTTATAAAGCATCTTCCCAACAAGAAGTCCCACTCCCTCGGGGGCTGCAACGAGTGCTTCACCCTACTGTCAAGGGGAATAGACCTTCTCATTCCTGTCCTCACAGGAGGTCCCCTCCAGAGCTGCTGCTTCTGGGGGGTTGCCGCAGGTTGGAAAGACTCCTCCGGAAAACACAACCTGTCACATCTTTCTCCTATTGCAGCCTTTGTCCTCACCGTAATAGCCAGGATGGGGGCCCACCACATCACCACACAGTGCATCTGGGCTCCACGCAGGCCCCCTGCATCCACTGCAGCAAGAGGAAGAGGCACCCACTGCATCGGCAAGGACGGTCCAAGGATGGCAAAGGCAGGATGCATCCTGGAGAGACCACCGTCTTCTCAGTGGGCAGGTACTTAAAGGAGCTTTGCCAGACATGGCCCATCTGCTCTGATGGACCAAGCATCGTGGAGAGTCTTCTCAGGTCCCCTACTCCCTTCCCCACTCACCCCACGCCAGGCACCCTCTTCTCTTCCCCATTTAGGTGCCCCAGTAGTAGCTCTGCAGCTGGGAGTCCCGAGGATCCAGGTGCCTCCTGCACCTGGAAGTGCCTGTGGTATGTGGCAGGCCATGACACACCGGTGGCTTCTCTCCTCCTTCTCCGGGAAGGTGACTCAAGCCTGGCTTGTCCTGCTGACTCAGTGCTGGCAGAGCCCCAAATTCACGTCCTTTCAAAGACTGCTGTCCCAGCTACGTGCGAGCAGGGCTCTTGCCCCCCAGCAGGGACAGTGACCCCAGTTTTAGGGATCCCATTAGGAGGAGGAGGAGGTGACAGCAGGTCCCAGGTGCAAGTTACCAGCCACCACCTTCAGAATGAAAGAGTGGCTATGCTCCTCCAGGTCGTTGCCTCCAATGATGACTGTAATTAGATGCCACAGGAGGAATATAAGAATAGGGGAGCGTACCCACTACTTCCCACAAATATTCTTCCAGTCCCCAGCTGGTCTCACCTCAAGGGACTTCCTGAGCTGCCTGTGGTCTGTGTAGTCAGTAACCTTTAGGACAACCTGCAAGCTTGCCCAGGTTGTCCCACTCCCCAGCAGAAAGCATGCACAAGCATAGCAAGATCTTCCAGGGCTCAGCTTCGTACCACGATGGTGACTGGGGCTGGGTGACAACCAACTGCTGGTCCCTGGATGGCCACCCCTAGCAAGACACAAAGCTCTGCTGTGCTCAGATCCTGCAGCAGGTCGTCATTCAGGGCCTAAGCCTTGATGAAGCTCTGTGTTGTGGTCCAGACAGCCAGTCCTTTCGTGGTGATGTTAAGACAGAGAGGGCATAGGGGTTGTGGGTTTTTCCACCATCACAACTAGGAGTTCTGGTAGGGAGGTGAACTGGGGGCTTTATGGGGAGCTGATAAAGGGGAGAGACATGCTGGACCTCCCCATGCTGAACTCCATCTAAGATCACACCTACTGGAGACCAACAGCTTCGGGCTTCCTCTGCCTGTTGCTGTCAGCTGTCCCGGTTTAAGGGGTGGTGTTTGGTAAAGCCAGATCTCTGCACAGTTGCATATTCATGGCTAATCTCATTCACTGGCTGGCACTCAGCTCCGTCCACGCCTCTGTGTCCTTCGTCCATGCTCTTCTCCAGCTCCTCTCACTCACCTGAGTGCTGGAGAAGGTGGTCTTGTTTCCTAAAGGCACCTCAAATATTGGTTTCCTCTTTTTATACTTGATATCCTGTGTCACATCAGCATTCTCCACGGGACAGTCATTGCATTTCTCCAAGGTTACATTTTAAAAGTTTCCGCTTCCCGAATCTCCTTGGTGTGAGGTATGAAACTACCTCCAAATTCTGGTTCTTGCTTCCAAGCTGGCCCCTTTGCTCTTTCAGATCCTGGATGACTTTTCTAGGACCGTCCTTGCTGTGTCTTATTTACTGTGAATATCCTCATCGCACGAAGTACCTCGATTCACGACTGATCCTACATACAAAAGCTCCTTTAACCCAGCTCTTCTGTTGCAATCTTCAGGTCTTGGTCCTCTTTTTTTTTTTTTTTTGCTGTTGCTTTTGTTTTGGACACAGTGGTTGAGAGTCCATCCCCCTTGCTTATTACCTACAACTCATTGACTAGATCTGGCACCCAGCTGGTAGGCACAGGCTCATTGCTAAAGGAACGAGATTAGTAGAGATCCACCAAGATTGTCAAGGGCTGGAGCATGTGGCATGTGAGGAGCTGTGGGAATGGGGTTTGTTTAGCCTGGAGAAGTCTAAAAGGGGGATCTAATTGCTCTAGAAAACTATTCAAAGGAGTGGGGGGAGTTTAAATGAAGATGGAATTAGACTCTTCTCAGAGATGCACAGGGAAGGGCAAGGGGCAATTGCCGCAAGTTGCAATAAGAGAAATCCAGAAAAAATGTTAAGGAAAAAAATATTTTACTCAGAAATGGTGCAGCCCTGGGACAGAGCCCAGAGGAATGGAGGGACCTCCATCCTTGGAGGTTTCCAAAACCTGACTGGACGGGGCCCTGAGCAGCCTTACTGAGGGTGGGAGGTGGACCGGTTTTGAGCAGAGAGTTGGCCTGGAGACCTCTTGAGGACTTTTCCTACCTAAATTATTCTATACTTCTAGGTAATCAGGGTTATATGATCTGTACTCTCACATTATTGCATGATTTACAATTTATCTTAGGGCTTTCCCCAAACCAGTTGCTGCCAGTGGCAGAGCTCATCCACCAAAGCATCTGTGTCTGACCCTCTGTCCCTAGCCCCATCAGCTGCAGTGTGTCACGTCCTACTGAATCCAACGCTGAGGAGGCAGACAGCCAAGGCTCTCCTGCCTTTCCCCTCACCATCCGGAGGTTGGTTACATTACCTCTTGTCCTCCCTGCCTTCTCCCTTGAATTCATTCCTGGCTCTTCCAGGCTGACATTGCTCAACGGTATTACCAATAAATGATCCCGCCACTCGTGCCTCCTCCCCATCCCTCTTCGGGACCGGAATTTTCTCTGGTCTTCCCAAATCGCAGTGCTGGTTCCATGTCTCCTAATATCTGGATAGACCTGAAAGGTCACATTTGCCGCTGCTTGGCCTGACCTGAGCAGTCCTGTGGGTACCTTGTCCAGAGCTGGAGCGCTTCTCTTCTTGACCCTTCCAATCATGAGCAGCACTTCTGCTGCAATGCTGAGGGGGGTCTGTATTGTCCACAGACTGTAGCCCAATCCTCAGTCTGGCGGTGGTCTCCTTCATCTCTGGCTTCTCATCTAGGATCTGGTCTTATCTCTTAGAGTTTTCTTCTCAGCTTCTTCCTTCAGGATGGCCGTACTGCCATTTGCTTGACCTTTGGGTCTTGTTCTTCTTTCAACCCCAGCAGTGCTTGAACTTTGCTGCTGAAATCGCAGCTTCAGCTGCAGAGTCCATCTGCAACTTCTTCGTGCATGACTCAAGTGCAGGGACAGCAGTTGCTGGGTGAGTCACGGGCTGCATGAAGGATGTGGTTGGATTCATGTTCTTTGGCTGGTGGACACCAGTGCACCATGGAAGAGATTCCCCATCTGCTGGTCCAGTAGTGGCTTGCATTGCTTACGAAGAGGAATCACAGTGTTAGTCACAACCAGCTCACTTGCAATTCAGACTTTTAGGCTTTGCCTACACGTTATCCCTCACATATCCCAAAGTTGTGGTAGATCCCTAACTTCTCTCTTCTCCCCACGTGCAATATTGCAACATCTCTGATTATAAATGCACCCTTTGTGGGTGTCAGACCAACTTCTGCAGTTGTTCTCCAGCCTACCCTGGAGCTCATGGTGGAGCCTTGGTGAACCATCCATCAGCCCAGGAGATGGTGCACAAGGTGATCTGGCAGATTTTAACCAAACATCTCCTCCTGGCTTCTGATCCCTGTACCCAAATACAGCTTGTCCTACCAAAACCCTGTCCCTGACTTCACTTAGGGTGCCCTGCCTGCCAAAAACTCTGGCTCTTGTTCTCCTGATGGCAGTTGGTAACTGGGTGCAACATCCACCTGGCTCTGCACGGCCATCCCTTCCTCACCAAGCTCAGACCGTTTGCATCCCACTTTCTGAATCAACACCTGAGTTGTACAAGCTCTCGTTCATTCAGCTTGCATCTTAGAACATTTCTAAGAGCTTCGACCCATCTTGCTGCGTAGAGGATAGGCTGGCAGGGTCTGCACTAGCCAATATCTGGATTGACCTTTTCGTCCTTCTTTTCTATTTGTTTTGCCAAAAATGAAGGGAAAAATGGGGTCAGGTAAGTGCAGGCATAGCTAGAGTGGGCGTCAATGGTGTTGAATGGGTCTGAAAGGTTGGAGATCAGCACCAGTCCATGACGAAGAGAGGAGAACAGAGGCTGGAGGTGCAGGCAAGCTGGAAATACATCTGGGAGAGAGGAGGGAAGGGATTTTGATCCATCCTGCCCCCATTCCAGGTTTCGTGTCACACACATCGGGAAGAAACCCACTTTCCATGAGCAGCAGG